GTAAAAAAATTAGTTGCAAAGTTGTCTGTACACAAAAGTTGACCAATGACTGACCGTCCAAACAAAAAAACAATTTTGTCTGTTAGGTCGTTTCACCCCCGTCAGTTTTCTTCATCGACAATTTTTTTTTTTTTTAACGTGGGAATTAGGGACGGGGTCAGTTATTGATCAGATTCGAACCTATTTGAGATTACGAAAAGTTACAAGTCAAATTCAGTGGGAGAGAGATTCCCTTTTCAAGCCCCCAACAGGCCACAATTGCATCTCTTTTCTTTTCAGGTTTCTTTAATTCTCGCACTTAAAGATATAACTTAAATGAATATATATTATAAATTTTTTATGTAATTAATATTAAAAAATAAAAATTGATTTTTATTTAAGTAATTAATTAAAGTAATTTACATAATATTATTGATAAAATTAATAATAATTTTTATATTTTTAATATTAATTAATATTAAAAATATGTAATAGTTAAAAATTTATTCTTAATAGGCCTCCTTAGGGTTGCTCACTACTAGAATTCATGACTTCACCGATGAGAAAGCATATTGGAAAGAAAGGAAATCACGTCGATAAAACCAACTTCCCACCTGAATCATGTCGGTAAACCTGTTGTCGCTGAAAGTAATCTCGGTAATTCATTTACCGACGTGGATTAAAGATACATCGATGAGGAGACTGCCAATTACCGACAACATGTCTCCACTAGTAAGCCGGAACAGTGCTACCAGAGATTTTTTCTGGTAACCCACGTCGGTAATTTACCGACGAAGATCACATCTCCAAGTACAGCAATGCCTCTGAAGGTGTGCTACATTGCTAATTCACTGAGGAAGAAGTTGTATGAAAATTTTAATTTACCGACAAGATTAACATCAGGAATGAAGAAAGCCATTTTTCATTTCAGCAGCTTACCGACGAAGATCACGTTGGTCCAGGAGGTTTCCAGAAGAAAATTAACAATTTAAGCCTCAAGTTGCTGACAAAGGTAACATTGGTAAAGAAAACCACTAAAAAAAAAAAGTTTCTTGAATAAATATTGAAATTAATATATATTTTTTATTTAATTCAATTAATTTACAGTTAAATATTAATTAATTCATAATATTTAATATCATAAGAAATAAATATAATATTAAAAATTTACAATATAAACAGAAAAT